AACCGATCGCAATCGCCGCGTCGCATATGCATCCGCGGGCCCGCGACTTCCCTTTGGTCTTGAACGAGCAGAGTGGGCGGCTGCGGTCGTTCAACGATCTGATCTTCTTGGCGGATTTTTCATTCGGTTGCCGAAGTGCTGGGCATGTCCGGCCCGGCGCCGTCGCCGACGCGTCGGGCGGGGCCCTCGCTCGATCGCCTGCAGCCCGCATGGAGCCAGGAGGAGCGCCAAAAAGTTGGGCGCTGGAAGAACTGGAAGAGGCTCGCCATGGACCAGATGCCCGCCCGGCTCAGCAATTTCTTGAACGACCCGCCCGAGGCCATGCAGGCGCGCGTGCGATTGTGCGAAGAGCGCCTCGACGTGTTCTGCTGGGTGCCAGACCGCGCGCCGATGCCTCCTGCCGGGCGGAATCTGCATGGCCCACTTGTTTGCTGGGCGCGGGCAGGTGAGCTCAAGCGTCACAAGACTGGGGTTGTCAGCGCGATTTTGGGCAATGTTCATAGCCTCCAGTACGATTTAAGAAATGGGCGTGTGCTGCGCAGATTTTCCCAGATGTCAGAGACGGCAATATCGTCGCCGCGACGATCGCACTGACTGCTACGTACACTCGTGACAGGACATGCCACATGTATTATCGCACAGAGCCGTGGGGCGCTGACACTACCAAGACGTCATAAAGAGATTAGCCCTCCTTCGCCAACAGAACCATCATCGCCATTCTGCACCGCACCCAGCATTTCAACAGCTATGCAAGATTTCGCGCGTGCTCGAGAATCCCCGCACATCCTTGCTGTGGCGCGTTCCAGAGGTCCTCGCGTTGCGCAGCAAGGCTCGCGCCCAGTGGCGGCCCACAGACTTCTGCCAGTGGGGTACCCCGTGGCGGGAGCGGACATGGATCGCATGCGGCATCATGGCCGATGTGGACTCAGCAAGGTTGGCCCGGGTGTGTTGCGGGCGACGTGGAATCTGCTCTCGCATTGACCGCCGCCACGCCGAGTTGTCTGGCCCTAGCCAGAATTTCATGCTGTGGACAATTATCGCACAACCACATCCCCCTCCCCCGTCTTGCGTCATTGACTTCTGAAACAGCACGCATCTTGTTCGTATAACGCAGGGATTGCTGTGAGAACAGGCGCCTGGTAGGCTGCTTTGTTTGTTGTCGAGTTTTGCCTGCTGTTGCTGTTGCTTCATCTTCCCGCTCGCGCGCGCCTTTCAATTCGGGGCGTCGGGAGTTCGGGGCTGTCAGAACGCGTGGTGCAGATTGCCTCTCTCGCAGCCCAGCTGTGCTATAATTCAGTCGAACCATGGCAGGTATTGAACATTACAACATAACGACACATCATGTTAGTGCGTGCGCGGGAATGGTGTCACGGGATTTCCAGGTGTCGTGTCCAGAGTTTCTGCCCCTGACGGACCTTGCACAGGACGCCCGGGGGGGGGGGGCGGGCGGGGAAATTCTGTACAAAACGATTGTGTTGTATAAACTTTCTCCCCTGGCGTTTTCCTCATCCGCAATTGTCTGGGCCCAAGATGAACAAACACAACGCGCATTTCCATCAGCATCCGAACGCGCCTGCCAAGTCTTTTGCGCCACCCTCTGCAGGACTGGCAGGATGGCTAGTGCAGATGGCCCCCTCACACCCAAGCTGTGTCATAACCCTGTCAGATAATTGCAGAGACTGCCCGCTACAGAAAAAAACGCTCATCAATGCGCGTATGTCTGTGTATGTCTGTATGTCTATAGATACGTACATACGTATGCATCGTTACTTGCACATGTACTGGCATTCGGATCAAACCCGCCGCCGTGCTTGGATTGTAGACCAGAGGTGGCTCTTTGGGTCTGTTGGGGCGACTCTTGTGAGCTTCTTGGGCGGCTCATTGTTCTTTTCGTGCATTTCAAATTCCTCTTGTGTGTGGGGGGGGCTCTTGGAGGCATGGCGCTGTCGGATGCCCAGAGGCCCCAAGACGGCTTGAGAGGCCTCCGACAGTTTCAGGAGGGGTTCGGTAATCATCTTAGCAACCTTGGATGCGTGGAATCCCGACGACGATTTCACGACCGCTGAAACAGTCATGCGAGAAACCGGGAGCGCTTGTAAATCCGGGCGCCGGGCCTTTACAAACAGTTACCATACAGAGAGTTTGAAGGGTCTTGAGGACGAACCGCTGTTTGCCTACCTCGCAACAGCGGGTCACCATGGCTTTGCTTCTTGGCGGCGTGATGCTCGCCTGCTTGCGCTGCTGTTTGCCGACACGCGCATTGCGAGGCCGTAGTGTTGTTCCCGTTAATCTTGTAGGCTCTAGGTGCTAAATGTTGTCAGCCCATGCTGTTCCCTATCCACCGCCAGGAGGTTTCCTCCAACCCCTGTTCTGGGCAAGCGAACTCGCACTCCTCCATCCTCCTTTGTCCCTCATCCTTCCTCTCCCCATTCATCCTTTCATCCTCCCTCGTCCTTCTCCCTCCACCTCAAACCTCCTTCTTTCGAGAATCACGGAGTTTGCCGATCCCGTGCCTTTCGCCGTTCGAGCAGAACCAGCCGCAGCGCTGGGGGGCTCGTGGTCCGCATCCTGCGGCAAGGCCACGTTGTCCTCGCGGCTGCCCAGGCCGCTGGGAGCAAGCGCGCGTGCGGATATTAGGAGTTCGTTCGGCTAGATCTCCAATCGCTGGAGTTCTTCGTGTGTTTGTGTGTGTGGCCGATTTCTTTGGACGGGGTTGCCGGTTCCCGATTATATTGTTCCCGATTTCGACGATCAATCACAGGATGTAGAAAGCCTAACGGGCGGGCTTAGCGTAGAACGCGCAGATCGCGTATATCGCGCAAGCGCGCTACGGCACGGTTCCGCACGGCCCATTTTTCGCAATCTGAGAGTTCGGCAGTTTTCCGCAACTTGGAAGCTCGGCACGGCACGGCGCATGTGCCGCAATCTAGTTCACAGCATGGTGCGGCACGGCGCGGCACGTCATGGCCCTCCACGGCACGGCACGGCATTGTACGGCACATCTGTCGCAATTTGGGAAATGGGCATGGCACGGCACAGGAAGGCATGGCACAGCACATTCCTCGCATTTTGAAGGTTCGGCATGACACACACGCACACACACACACACACACCCACACACACATTTCTCCAATCTGAAAGTTCGGCACAGCGCGGCACGGCTCTGCATATTCGTAAGATTCCAGACGTTCGGATCGGCACGGCACAGTTCTCGCATTTGGGAGGTTCGGCACGGGACAAACACACACACAATCACACGCGCGCACACACTTCTTCAATCTGGAAGTGTGGCACAGCACAGCGCGGCACGGCTCTGCATAGTCGTAGAATTCCAGACGTTCGGATCGGCACGGCATATTTTGCGTTGTGTTGAAATTCGGCACGGCACGGTTTTGCATGCCAATTTTGTTTGGCAATCTGGAAGGCACGCCACCGCACGGCACATCTTTGGCAATTTGGAATTGGGCTCGGCACGGCACCAAAATAGGGCGGCGCATTTTGGGAGATTTGGGACCCCCGCCTGCGTGAATTGAACCCCCTTACATAATTAGCTGTTGTAGGAAAAGCAACATTGAGTGGGGCCTTTTCCCTGGGGCCACTGGCGTCCACATATCGCTACCAGCAGATGCGCGTCAGGTCAGAGCCATTTGTTTGTTTTCGCGGTGCCATGTGGCCCTCGCTCTGAGATTCGGAAGAAGAAGGCGGGGACGGACGACGGCAAAGAGGGAGGTTGATAGGAGGCGGAGGGCGACGACGACGACGACAAGAAGGGAGGACGAGAAGGGAGAAAGGGGAGGAGGGCGGACTGAGTAGCAGGAGGAGCAGGACGCAGGAGGAGATGGAGGGTGAGGGCAAGGCCAGCGGTTCCTACATTTCCACTTGTGTCATCATTCCCGGCAGAAGCAAATGCCGTAGATGGCGCAATTCGTTGGATGTCTTGGCTAAGCTTTCAGAATATCACAGCTAAGCATGGCAAGGTACACGGTTGGTGCTCAGAGCCGTCGGACATCGATAAAGGCGAGGATATTAACAACAGCGAAGGTTGGAGGGACGCGGTTAACGAGGCAGAGGGGCTTGGTGGAAGAAGAACAGGAGTAGGAGAAGGAGGAGGAGGACGAATAGGAAGAAGAGGGGGGAGGAGGAGGAGGAGGAGGAGGAGGAGGATGCGGGGGGACGAGGTGGAGTCCGGAGGAATAGGGTCGAGAAGTATGAAGATTTGGAGGGGAGGGATGTAAGGAGGAGGATGAGAAGGATGTGGAGCAGGAAGAGAAATATGTGTATGGAGCAGGAAAATGAAGAGAAGTGGGGAGGACGGAGGAGGAAGGAGGGGCATGAAGGAGTGGGTCTTTCGTAGCCGTTCTGACTCGAGCGATCTTGGCCACAGGCGTTCGGCATCCTGGGGCCACATTGCCCTCAGTGCGGCCTGTGGACACCCATCGGACCCAAGCCATGGCGAGGCGGTCGTGCACCCGATTTGCGCTGCTTGGTGTGGTTCTCGCTGCGATCGCCACGCTGCTCAGCGGATGCCCGCGCACCAGCACGAAGGTCCACGCTCCTCACCGGGGCTCCTGCTGCCGTTCGAAGACTCCGACCCCCCAGGCATCACATGCATCCCAGACACCACGGTCTCCCTAGACACTCCGGGCACCCCAGGGATCCCAGGCCTCCCCAGACTTTCCAAACAATCCAGTCGTCTCAGACGCACCCGACACCCAGGACAACTCAGACACCCCATGCACCCCAGGTTCCCCAGACACCCCAGGCACGCCAGACACCCCAGACTCTACAGACGCCCCAGAGCCCCCAGACACCCCAGACACCGCGGACACATCCGATCGGGTCTGCCCAGATTTCGTTCGGCGCCATAGAAACCCTAGGCTCCCCAGACCCCAGGCTCCTGCTTCCCGGCCGACGCACCACAGGTAATCCAGGCTCACCACCCCCCAGGCTCCTGCTTCCCGGCCGACGCCGTGGTGATAAGCGCAGCTGGGCCGAAGCGCATGGCCGACGTTCAGGTGGGGGATTCCCTCCTGGGCATGGACGCCACAGGCAAGATCGAATATTCCGACGTCAGGGCGTGGCTTCATCGCGACGTGGATGCACATTCGAACATGACTGTGATCGAGACCGGCATCGGGCAAATGGTGGCGTCCGCAAAGCACAGCATTGCAACAGACGTGGCAGGGCGCGTGAAGTACGCATACGCGGATGAGCTGGAGGTGGGCCACACGCTCTTCGCCAAGAACGGCTCGGCCGTTCACGTGCTCGGCACCAGCTCCCAGGCAGCGGCTGGCTTTTACAGCCCGCTCACCTACAACTCGAACTTCTTCGTTGGCAGCTCTGCTGACTCCGTGGTGCTCGCCCACGGCTTTGCTCACAACCCAGCCCCGGTCTTCTCCGCTCACATCGTCCACACCCTGATGAACATTGCGGAATTGTTGCATGGTTCTTCGGTGCACGAGATCAGCCCAGAGCAGCAGAAGAGGTACTTGCACCCAGTGCTGCGTGCTGTGCTTGCCGTCTGCCCCATCGTCAGCATCGATGCGGAAAGCGAGGCTTCCTCTTTGTGGCAGTGGCTTCGGGCATTGAGGGGCGCCGCAGCGGACGAGGGCGTCCAGGTCAACCTCGTGTGAGCAGCGTGCGCCCTGAGTGACGCGTGTTGCTACGGAGCGCACTGTGCACGTACAAGTTCAATCGTCCCCGCCTGCGCACCTCCAGGGGAGGGGGTAGGTAGCGCGGGTTGGCTCAGGGCACCAGCATACCTTTCGACTCGGGCTCGGCCTCACTCAGGGATGCAGCGGAGCCCATTGCCTTCGTGGCGTGTTCCATTATGCAATTCTCCTCGCGCTGGTCATTCCTCTCGCGTTCAGATCACATCCTGCCAGTTTTCATGCTTATCTCAGCCTATTTCGTTTTCTCCGCGCTCCACTACTTTTAACGCTTGTCCAAGTCTTTCCTACCTTCCGTTCCTCCTCGTCCTTGTGCGCTGTCTTGTGCTCGTCTTCTCGTCTGCCTGCTCCTTCCACAGTGCACGGTCGAGAATCGACGTGAAAGCCCGAGAGTCTTCTAAGATCGCCTAAGATAGCCTCCGATTGGCCCTCGAGGCCCCCCAAAGCGCCCCACGAGAGCGCCAAGACAGCCCCAGCTGACATCGCGACAGCCCGAGAGGCGCCCCGGGAGCCACAAGAGGCTCTCAGAAGACCTCTCGAGACGGCCTCCATAGGCCAACATCGCCCCGCTCCTTTTTAGAAAACCGTTCATTTCCAGCATCTTAGTTTTGTTTGTTTTTTTGGGGAGGTTTTCCCAGGGCGGTCCCATTGACCCCCAAGATCGCCCCAAGAGGCCCCCAAGAGGGCGCCAAGCCGGCCCAAGAGGGCCCCAAGACAGCCCAAGAGGCGGCTAATATGGCTTTAGACGATCCCAAGAGATCCCCAAGACGGCCCTAGACATCAAAAGATTGCCCCCAAAATGGCCCCAAGAGCGCACATGAGGCCTCCAAGATGCCCCAAATAGTTAGTCTCCCAGACCCTTCAAAGAGCCTGTCAAGGGGCTTCCTCGGCACTTTCAGGCACCCGAATCATTTGAACGTCTTCCGGGAACACAAGCGCACTTGCCTTCTCACCTTTTCGCTGTCGACGCGCCGCTCGGGCCTCCAAGTCGCCCCAAAGAATCCTTAGGAGACCCTCGAACCCCCCTCAGAGGCCCCAGAACCACGCGCGCGCTTCGCGCGCCACTAGGTTCTAGCCGGTTCCGAAGACGATATTGCGAAGGCCTTACGGCCGGTGCCGCCGACCCTGAATGGCGACGACGACGACGACGACGAGCGCTCTTGGGGGCCTCTTGGGGGTAGTTTGTGGGCCTCTTGGGAAGCTCTTAGGGGCCGCTTGGAAGCCTCGTGGGGGCCTCTTGGGGCTTCCTGGGGGTCTCTTGGAGGGGGCCTGGGACGTCTTGGAGGCTTCTTGGACGGTCTTGGGGCTATCTTGGGCGTTTTCGGCCGATCTTTGGGCGACTCGGGGCCCTCTTGGGCCGTCTCGGGGGCCATCTTGGGCATTCGGACCTCATTTGGAGTGTTTTCGAGGTTTCTAGGCCGCCCGAGGAAAAACGAATCTACCCCCCCTCACCCCCCCCCCCCCCCCACCCCTCCCGGGACCCCCCCCCCCCTCCCGGGGCCCCCCCCCCCTGGGAAAAGGATCAAAGGGAAGGGGCTTCCCTTCGAATCTACAACGGCATGGACAACGATGACGAAGGAGACCCTCGAACCCCCCTCAGAGGCCCCAGAACCACGCGCGCGCTTCGCGCGCGACTAGGTTCTAGCCGGTTCCGAAGACGATATTAGCAGGCACGGGTCTGATTCCGTGGCGTTTTCCCAAGTACCCTAAGACCCTATGACCTTTACCCGAACACCCTGATCGGAAAGCCTGAACCCGAACACCCTAACAGCCGTACATTGCAACCCCAATCCCGACTCAGGAACTCTCACACCCGAGCCTTGGCACCCTAATCCCCCAAGATCGAACCCCCTAGCCCAAAACACCGAACAGCACCCAAGCCCGAAAACCCCAACCCTACACCCGGACACCCTAACACCCCAACACGATCACCCTAACCCAAACCCGTGAACCCGAACACTAACCCTAACACCTTTACCCTGACACCCTAAGACCCTGACGCCCGAACACTAACACTGGAATGCCCGAGCTCCAAGACCCGAATCCTCCCGACTCAACGACCTGACCCAACCACCCTAGGCCTAATACCCTACCCCTTACACCCCAACTCTACCACCCTTGCCCTAACAATGGAATCCTAACCCCCGAGCCCGAGCACCCGAGGACACTAAACATAACACCCTAAGCCGAACACCCTAAAGCTAACATCCGAACGCCCTGACAAGAACACACTAAGCCGAACATCCTAACCAGCACACGCTGGCCGTAACCCTAACACCGCAACCGTAACACCCGAACTTGAACACCCCAGTCCGAACATCCTAACGTGAACTCCGAACCCCAACACAGGAGTTTTAACCCCTAAGGCGCGAATCCTAAGACACTAACCCTAACAGCGTGACCCTGACGCGCTAAACCTCACATCCGAACCCTGCAACCCTTACCCGACCCCTAACATCCTGACCCTGCACTCTGACGCCCAAGTTCTAATACTTGAACCCTTCCCAGCGAGAGCGGCAACACTATACAACATTGTCACATGTTCGCCTTCCCGGGCTCTTCTTTGGGGCTCTCTGGGGTCTTTGGGAGCATTGTTGGGCTCTTGTGGGGCCCTCTGGGGCCGCCCCCAGGGAATGCTTGGCCGTTTTGGCGCGCCATTGCCAGAACATAGCGGGGAGTCCTTGCTTCGGAACCCTCTGGCGGGACGGCCCAGGAAGGACGCCAGACGGCCCAACAGAGCCACAAAAGAGTTCCCCACGAAGGCCTTGCGGTGTCGCCCCCATTAATTTTCCAGAGGCTCTGTGGTAGATGTTGTCAATCACGTGCCGAAGTCTAAACAGCAAGACGCTCCCAAACCCTGAGCGCGCGACCTCGCGCCCTCACACAATACGATAGACGCAACTGGCATTTAAGGGGGCCCCGACACGGCCCAAGAGTGCCGCGACATTGCCCACAAGGTCCCGCAAGACGGGTTCAGATGGCGCCATGAGCCGTTCGAGCCGTATGAGCCTTCTGAGGCCTACAATCCGTGTGCGCCCTTCGGGAGGCGCCCGAGACGCCTCTCCCCAATCCCGCCGAGGCCTATGAGTTCTACGTGACCGTGAGCCCAATGAGCTCCTGAGCCCTACGACACCTATCGGCCCGACGACCGTACAAGCCTTTCGAGCCTTGCGAACCTTACGACCCCCTGTCAGCGCTACGCGCCCTCAGAGCCCCATCGGCCGCATCTGCCCTATGACCCCTAAGAGCCCTCTGCAGCACGTGCGCTCATGAGCCCAATGAGCCGTACGACCCGATGCTCCTCACGACATCATACGCCTTCTCACCCCTACGAACCCCATTATCCGGATCAGCTCATGGGCCTTACGATCCTTTCCAACCTTGTCACCCCCACGACCCCTATGAGCCGTATGAGCCCTATGTGCCGTCCAGGAACCCCCCGAGACACCACTGCCATGAGCCCTACGAGCCTGTCGATCCCTACGGGCCCATGAGTTCCTCAGTCCTACGATACCTATGAACCCTACGACCACCTCTTCCTTTCCCTCTCACCCCCCTCTCTCTCCCACCCTCCGCCTGCCCTGCTTCCATGCCGTTCCACGTGGCGGTAGCCAAACGCAGAAAAAAAAACTATCCTCTGACGAGCCCTATGAGGCCTACGAGCCCTATGAGGCCCCCTACGCCCTACGAGCCCCATGAGCCCCACGGGCCCTACGAGCCCTAGGACACCCATGGGCCCTACGAACCTCATTAGCCGTGTGGGCCCTGTAAGCCCCATGCGCCCTACGAGCCCCATGAGACCCATTTGCCCTACGAGTCCTACGAGCGCTATGAGCCCTAGGGGCCCTTTCAGCCCTATGGGCTCTATGGGCCCTGTGAGCCCTATGAAACAAAGGAGCCCTATGAGCCCCCTATGAGCCATACGGGCCCAGTGGGCCTTTGTGGGCCCTATGTCGCTTCTGGGCCTCATGAGGCCTACGAGCCCCATGAACCCTATCAACCTCACGGGCCCCACGGCCCGCGCGATCCCTAAGAGCCTCAAGAGCCCCATGAGCCTTATGAGCCCCGTTGGCCCTAGCCTTATGACTTCGACGACCCGTTCTGGGCCCAATTAGCACAATGAGCTGTGTGAGTCCCATGAACCTCACAAACACGATGAGCCGACCCGCGCTATTGGGCCCAAGAGCCCGTGTGACCTGTGAGGCCAAGGATCCTACGAGCCTTCACGCTAAATGATTTCACCAGCCCGAAGAACCCTCTGAACTCAATTACGGCTGCGGGCTCTCGGAACCTCATGATCCCCAGGAGCCGCGCTTCCCGGAGTACACCTCTTCCACATTCGCGGCCCGAGCTTTTGGGCACCAACGGCGGCGGAAAGCCCTTCGGACTTCTGACCAAGAGGAGCCCATGGGTCCTATCAGCCCTGTGTGCCCCAAGGGCTTCGTTGCCGAATCACACTGCGGTGTTGGCGACTATCAGTCGCGGCGAGCCTCGCTGGCGCCATGCGACCAATATTTGAAAGGCGAAGCGAAGCCAGCCCGTAACATCTAGTATATATATGTTTATATACATATATATGTATATATGTATGTATATATATATATATATATATGTATGTGCGTGTGCGTGTGTTGGCTACGCCATACGGGAATTCGCCTAACCGTACCCCAGCTTAGCGCTCTGCCAGGGTGTCGCCACCTCGCCGCTGGAGGACTACAGTTTGTGTGTGAGTGAGTGGGTGAATTCATGTCCTGGGATTCCACGGCTTCGGCTCGAACACGGTCGCCACACGTCCGAATTGATTTGTGTCCAGCGTGTCCCGCTTGTTTCTGACGCGACTGCGATCCACATCGCCAGAGGACGGAACGTGTGAGAGTGAGTTCGTGTGTGTGAGTGCGCGCGTGGGCGTACACGTGTCGTGTTGATTTAAGGTGCGGTGTAGCATCATGTGTGTGGGGTTGCATTGGCGAGTGAATTCGCACGGGACTAGTGGGCGGAGCTGCACCCAGCATGCTGGGATATTGGCCAATGTATACGTTCGCAGGGGAAAAGCGGAGGAGAAGCAAGATCAACGAGGGGAAGAGTGGTGAGGAAAAGCAAAAGGGGAGAGGAAGAGGAGGAGCAGGAAAAGAAAAAGGAGGAGGTGATGATATGGAGGAGAGTGAGGGAGAGGACGCATCTGTAGTCATGTTGGCTCAGGACTTGTTGTCCCAAGCCGTTTCGCCAAGGGGCCCCAAACCCTCGCCATCGGGGCCGCGCGCGTGCAGAGGGAGGTCCCGCGATGGCGGCCGTGGCTCCTGGGGCCGCAGGCGGCAGGCCCGGGAGCCCAGGCGGCGGCGGACCTGGGGCCACCGCTCTCGGCGCCCAGGCCAACTTCCTCGGCGTCATCCCGCACGCTTGGCACGCCGACGACGACGACGACGACGACGACGACGACGACGACGACGACGACGACGGCGACGTAGACGACGACGACGACGACGACGACGACGACGACGACGACGACGACGACGACGGCGGCGACGACGACGGCGGCGACAGCGGCGGCGGCGGCGGCGAATACGACGGCGGCGGCGACGGCGACGGCGGCGGCGACGGCGAGCGGCGACGGCGAGCGGCGGCGGCGGCGGCGTCGGCGGCGGCGACGATCGGCGGCGGCGGCGGCGAATGTCGGCGTCGGCGGCGCCGTCCGTGAGGGCCGAGGAGAATGCAGAGGAGGAGACGACCGCGTCCGGCCGGGCCGTCTCCAAGACCTCGGGTGTGTCGCGGCATGTTGTGGGCACGTTGTCTACCGCCTCCCGGGCCATCCCCGGATGCATGGCGCACTGCGGGTATTACGCGCTGGCATTCTTTGCGTATTGGTTCGGCGCTGCCCGTTTCGACGCGAATGGGGACGGGGAGTTCGACGCGGCCGACGTCCAGCGCATGATCAACGACATCGGCCTCCACCTGCGGTTCAGCTTCTCTCGCCCAGTCCCGCGAGGGCATCGCCTGCAGGAGATGAAGCAGAATCGGGCCAGGAGGATCGAGAGTGAGCTTGAGGCCAAGAGGGCGCGCCGCCGGCGGAGCCTCGATCAGACGCGGGAGCTCAGCGAGGTGGGGAGAGCGCGGGCATCAAGCGGGAATCCTTTGGAAGCAGCTGGAGAAGCCAGCAGGTCCTCGAGGTGGAGCGGGAGTTCTGGCTCCTCCGTCAAGTCTGCGCTGGCGATTGCTGGTGAGCGTGTAAGACATAGCTTCGACGCCGCCTGCGACACGGCCGCGCAGGTGGTCGTGGCGAGCGTGGAGCCAGACTCCGAGTGCGTCGAGGAGACCATCCAGGATAATCTGCGGCAGTACTTGCCATGGTTCACCATCCTGCAGGTTTGTGCCTGCTTCGGGCTGTGGCTGGGGTACGCCTCGCAGACGAACCAGTATGTGGTTCTTGCCGAGCACGTGTCGGTGGACGATGTTTTTCTGGTCGGGAAGTTCTCGGGCATCTCGATTTACGAGTGCCACATAGAGTGCAGCCATTTAGGTGACGCCTGTTGGGGTGTGGCGTTCTTGCACGGGCCGGCCACTCAATGCAAGCTGTTGTCGGCAGTTTCGAAGGAGGAGTACACCACTGGTTCTTGGAATTGTGGCGACGCAGAGGGTTGTTGTAGGGAAGGCGCGTGGAACTGGCAGCTCTCCGAAAAGCAGCCACGGACCTTGGGCAGCCTGTTCGGGACCATCGGTGGCCTCGAGACGGCCTTCCCTGGTCAGACTGCGCTTCAGAGTTTCAGGTACTGCGAGGAGGGGTTCGAGGCTAGCATCTTCTGGAGACTCCTGTCCTACCAGTATACCCATATAGATGTGGGACACGTTGGCAGCAATTGTCTAATGCTCATCCTGCTCGGGGTGCCCCTTGAGGGCTTTCATGGCACAGGGCTGGCCGCTCTCATGTATACAATCGGGGTCGCTGGTGGCGGTCTGGCCTGGATGCTTCTTGACCCTTACACTGTGGCCGTGGGCGCGTCTGGTGGAGGATACGCATTGCTCGGTATGCATTTTGCAGACCTGGTCCTGAATTGGAAGCAGAAGAAGTTCCGATACTCAGAGGCCCTCTTGTTGGCGACCGTCATGGCTGCCGAGACAGCCTGCTCATTTCCCAGCGTCCAGGACGACACGTCCAGCACCGCACGCTCGGTGCATGCTGGGGGCTTGGTTTCGGGCGTTCTCGTCGGCATGGTTCTCACCCGCAACATAGACAACAAGCGTTGGGAACTTGGGCTCCAGGGCTTCGCCCTTCTCGTGGGTACCGGGCTGGTCTGCTTCTGTCTGGCCTGGTGGTCCAGCAGTCCGCTCCCAGGCGTTCGCAGCCTATGGAGCGGTGGCGAGGGGCCCTTGTGCTGGATAGGGCAGGTTTGCACAAACACCGGCAACACTGGCTGCGACTACAACACTGGTTGGCAGTGCGTGGCCTGCAGCACGCGGGAGTGTGTCGAGAATTGGTACAAAGACATGTTTTACTTTTGCGTCACGAGGGGAAGTCCGACAACGTGTGACGGAAATTTCGCCAACATCGTTCACAATTGCCAGAATTGCTAATCCCAGTTCCGTTCCTCCCTCATTCATCTGATTTTTCTTCGCCATCAGAGTGGGCTTTCCCTATTGTCATGCATGCCACTTTCGGTGGCGCTGTCGCTGGGCTTCGTCTAAGATGTTTGGCGGCAAGTAAATTGCCCAGGCGTCACAGTCGAATTTCAATCGTTTCTGTAGCGAGTGGGAGGTCTACCGTTCACGCTTGGTTGTTCCTCTTATTGTAGTGGCCTCCGGCCAGTGCCGCCGATCCGGGGCGCTCCTGATGCTATTGTTGTTGAAATGGACGATGACGACGACAACGGACGACCAACGGTCGACGAGCAGGATAATTACGACGACGACCGACGAAGGAGTTAATGACGACGAACCGACGACGACGATGACGACGACGACGACTTCGACTTCGACTTCGACGACGACGACGACGACGACGACGACGACGACGACGACGACGACGACGACGACTGACGGCGAACGGCTGCCGACGGCCGACGACCGAGGACTGGTGACGGCGACGGGTGGAAGGTTCTTCGTTCATCGCTTTCACTTCCGAGCAATACCAGGTCAGGCCATGCACCTCTGGCCTGGCAGCACGCGAGTGAGCGCCTCTTGTGGCCTCTTGGTTCTTGGGGCTTCTTTGGGGCCTCTTGGGGGCCTCTTGGGGGCCTCTCGGGGTCCTCTTGGGGGCCTCTTGGGGACCTCTTGGGGGCCTCTGGGGGCCCCTTGGGGGCGCCTCGGGGGCATCTTGGGGGCTCTTGGGGTCATCTTGGGGTGGAGAACTAGAAGGGTCCGTTCGGGTTCACCCTCTTGAGGCCATCTTGGGGGCCTCTCGGGGTCGTCTTTGGGGGCCTCCAGGGCTATATTGGGGCCCTCTTGGACCGTCTTGGCTCCTCTTGGGGGCCTCTTGGGCTGTCTTGGGGCGATCCTGGGGGCATCTTGGACCGTCTTCGGCGCTTCTAAGACGGAAAAGGCGATAATGTTAAAATGCTTCACAACCTATTAGCAACTTTATTGTTGTGCCCTCTTGGGGCCCTCTTGGGGGTCCTCTTGGGATCTCCTTGAGGCGTCTTGGAGGCCTCTTGGGCCGTCTTCAGGCCATCTTGGGCGTCCAGGAGCGCTCTTGGGCCGTTTCGGGCGCCTATTGGACCGTTTTGGTGGCCTCCTGGGCCCCTTTTGGCCCGTCTTGGGTTGGTTTGGGATTCCCGGGGGGGAGGGAAAGAAAGCGTGGACCCGATGACCCCCCCCTCCCTCCCTCCCCCCCCTACCCCGGCAGAGCCACCCCGGCCCCCCGCAGCAGAGCTGAAGCTCAGGTTGTAGCTTTCTTAAACTCACACGCCGGATCGGCGGATTTTGGCTAGGAGGTCAACGAGGTGGATACAGGTACGGTCTCAGGCGGCGAGCGCCAGCTGCAGGGTCTGACCGGCTGGCGGTGCCCTTGCAGCACCTGGGTTGGCCAGGACACCTCGCGCCCGCGAACCAAGCGGGCGGCAGCTGCGGCCATGCCTGCGGGACGTGGAGATGCCCCTTCTCCTCTCCCTCTGGTCTTTGCCCCTTTCGTGGCTGGTGCTGCGCCTGCTGCCAGAGTGGCAGGCACAGATCCAGCAGACATGTATTGTAGTCCCCTGTTTCAGCCATTCTCATCGCTCCGCCACAGGGGCTCTCTAAGCCACGCCTTTGAATGCCCTGCGGCTACAAGGGCTACGGAGCACTGGCGGGACTGCGTACACCAGCGACACAGTAAATGTCGCACACCTTGCAACTGGGGCGTTGGGGACGAAGCTGAGATCGAAGGAGCGGCATTGGAAGTCAAGTAATGGTCCAGTCTGCGCTTCCGTTCCCAACGTAGGTATCACCATTAGGGCCAGGCATGGCCTTGCTGTCACATCTCATCGGTTAGCTCACTGTCTCTATCTTGCTCTCGCATGTCACTGTTCAGGCTCGAAGGAGCGACGGCATTCCACACCATACTTTTCGCAAGCATCCTGCACAATTTCTACTCGTAACAAAGCGCCCACACGCACGGCCAAGGGAATCTTATCCAGGCCTTCTGCGTCTGGTATCATTGGAATTCGGGTGGGTGACCGAAGTTAAACCAAGTGCCACCCACCACCGGGAATTCATAGCATACCGAAACATGCACCCATCCCTTCACAAATGTTCTTACCACCCGAACGGTGGCCTTTCAGTACTCCTTGTCGTTCTTGTAAAGCGCGATCCCACTTGTTAGTATTGTTTGCAGCTGCGTACTCTGGTATCTTGCTGGTTATGTTGCCGAAGACGTTTGCGGCGAGTCACCACCGCCCCTTGTGGGGCTGAAGTTTGGCCATGCTACAGATGGATGTGTTTTCCCAGTTGCTGTGGAAACTAGCGGGCTGCCAGACACCTGAAACAGAGATAAACCGCATTATTTGTTCTCGCAGAAGTCATCGTGTACATCGGACCTGAATGCCTCTTGAAGCTCCCTTGGGGTTTCTCTAGGAGCCCTGTACGGCCGTGTGGGGGGGGGGGCATTTGGGGCCGTCTTGAGGCCGTCCTGCGGCTCTCTCAGACCGTCTTGAGAGTACCTTTGGCAATACTGGAGGACCATATGGGAGGACATCTTGGATGTTTTGTTCGGTCTTTGGGCCATGAAGGCCATCTGGGCCGTCTGCGAGAGGTGTTTTGTCAACTTCGGGCGCTTCGTGCGGGGGCAGCGCGACGGGACGAAGGGCTTGTAGGAACTTTTCGGAAGCGCCAAACCGTTGTCCTTAGCTTGGCACGCCGCAACCATGGGGGCGGCGGATTCAGTTGCCTTCGGCCTCTTGAATGCCTTAACTGGGCCTCTTGGAGCCTCTGGGATGCCTGTGTAGGGCGTGGTAGAGGCCAGGGTGCGGTCTCGGGATCAATATTTGGGTGGAGGGGTCCAGATGGCAGTTCACAGTTCACGCTTCCGCTCTTGGGCCTTTCTTCGGGCCGTCTTGGAGGCTCTTGGGCTCTTCTCGAGGGCTGGGGCCCCATCCTTGGGCCGATCTTGATGCCTTTGGGCCCATCTTAGACGCTCGTCAGGCCGACAAGTCGGAACCGTCACAATCATGGAAAGTCGTCAGGGGGTGCTAGATTTGAGCCGTTGGGGCTAGCCCGAAGGGCTTGAACGACGGCCCGATCGGCCCCTGGGAGAGCTCCAGGACGGTCCCATCTTAGGGCACGTGAAACATGTAGATTCCTATCAGCGCGTCCTCAGGGCCTCGGCAGCAGCTCGGGCAAGCCCCCAGTTCGCTCTTCAGCGCTTCGAGGATCCAGGAATCTGGGGCCTGGTGTCTTCAAATGCTTGTATATGTTTTTTCCAACCATCCTGTGGTGTTGGGTCCTCGTTTTGAAGAGGCGGTCCCCGCGTTCCTCCTTCCTTCTCCCCCCCCCCCTCCTCTCATCATCATCATCATCATCATCATCATCATCGGTCCCCGTGGCACAGCTCGCATGGGTCCCCGCCATTCATTTCGGCACACCCCTCACACGCGAGGTGGGCGACTTGAATCAGGGAGAGGCCGTGCTCAGCGTCTACCTCGAGGCGCGAGGCAGCGGGTCCGACGAGGCAGACGCACTGCAGTGCGTCGCCTCCGGCTTCGACGAAGAAATCAGCGCCGTTATTGAGCGGCTCGCCCACTGCGCGGATTACTTGGCCGACTACACCGAGGCCGAGGACGGCGAGCGCGCGCGCCCCATGCACGCGGGCCGCTGGAGGAGCCAGCTGGCCCAGCTGCGCAGCGCCGGAGCCAGGCTAGCTGGAGCGACTCCCCCTCGGCCAGCCGCAGCGGGGCTACTGCAGCTCGAGACGCACTCACCAACCGCGAGGTCTGTCGACGCAGCTGCTGCCGATTCCGCTCCGTCGGCCAAAGCAGCCCCCTCGAGCGCGCAGACGACGCCGGCGGATCGCCCGCCTGGCTCGGTCTCACCCGCGGGCCTGCGGTTCGGGGTGACGAGCTCCATCCCTGGCGGGCTCCCGAGCGCCGCGGGCGTCACCGGCCTGTTCGTCAAACGTGGTAGCTATGCGGGTACGGGCCTGATTCAGGTCCCTGGGCAGCCCGACCGACAGGGAGCCGCGGGCGCCGCCGGCGACGCCGCCGCCGTGCAGGCCTACGCCCGGGCGTTGCAGGCAAGCCAGGCGCAGCAACACCAGGACCACAAGCAGCGCCTGCACGCGATCCAGGAAGGGCTCATCCAGCGGGGCGACGGTAAGGTCGCGCAGCTGGGCGCACTGGCGGCTATCAAGAAGGCTGAAGAGTTGGACGTGTTCTTGGCACGGGGGTGCGACACCACGGAGGTCGAGATCAGCAACGGGCTCCTGGGACGCGACCTCTTCCACGGTCTCCGCCGAGCATGCGAGGGCAGCAAGCACCTGATGCTGGCCGTGGGATGCCCGACGACTGTGACGAACAGGATCGCCTATGGTTCAGCGACCCTCTCCTGGGGAGGCAAGGACCACCTCAAGCCCAATTGGAGCCTGTCCGTGGCCGACTTCCCCGTGTGCCGGGGCGAGGACTTCGACGACTATGCGATGCCATCCGAGGTTAAGCTGGAGCCACGGCCGAGGCACCCCGTCGTATTCAGCCAGTGGCGCCGACAGGCCCAGAACGCCATCAAGTTCTGGTGCCTCATCTACGGGCGTCAACACGGACCGGAGAGGTACGCCGCCCTCGAGAGCTTGAAGGAGTCACACGAGCGCGACGAGGACGAATACCCTTCGAAGTACGTCTATGGACTGTGGGAGGAGCTCAACGCGGCCTGGTGCGAGCAGCTGCGGGAGAAACGCCGAGCGATGTGTCTCCTGCTCGGCACGCAGCACCCCAGGAAGGAAGACCTGAAGCTGTGTGCGCTGGCCCCCACGGGCCCAGGCGGCTAAGCAGATTTCAAGTTCCCGAACGTCTTCGACATCGACGACCCTGGCGGCTACTACCAGATCGTCTGCATGCCCCGGAACGAGCGCAAGCTGCGCAAGCTCTTCAACCGCAGCCTGTATGGGCTAGGTC